CTTTCATGCTTTCTGCCTCTCCCTGACTCCCTCCTTCTCTAACCTGCCGAAGCAGCCATTAATCTACCACCCTTCACCCTTGCTTATCAGTCTCCCTCTCTAACAGATCGAAACCGAGCCTCTAAAAAAATCGACCGAAACCGACATTGCATCATATTCGGTTCGGTCGGTTATAGGGAAAAAATTTTCGGTCGGTTTTTGGTCAAAACCGAACCGAAACCGACAAAATCGACCGGTGCACACCCCTAGTCGTGGCGTATTACTAACTCTAAACCCTGTCGTGTCACAATCGTGTCACACATTCCCACCATGCCTTGTCACATATTCTCGACATGCCATTTCATGTCACATTCTGGCACTGGTCTGTCATATATTCTCACCATGTCATCTCACATATTCCCTTCGAGACGTGTTATATATTCTCACCCTATCGTCTCACATATGGCTTGCTGTAGCATGACCATTTCGTGCCTTGGATTCACATCTTTCTCCTTTCGATTCACCACCGTATCATGGATTTCTGATTTTACATCATTCTGGAAGCTTTCGACTCATCATGACTGGTTCCTCGATCGGTTTAATATCCATCTTTTTGTATTATCTGAATACCATATCCAAAATATCTGAAAAATCTTCTCATGTAATATTATTTTGCTTTGCACAAGCTTTACGAAAAAAAATGGATGTTTTGCATAAAATTAGATGTTCGTAAATTTTTTACATATTTTTTTTTTTACGTGTTTGAAGATGTATGTCAACGAAGATATCTCATTAAAGATATTTTTATCTCAGAACCTATTTTCATAGTTAAAAATAATTAAAATTATTTGAAAGATTATTTTTAAAAACTAAAAAAAATGTTATTTTAAAATTGTTGTGATATGATGTCACCTCAAATGAAATCCAAGTCCTCCGTGTGTGTCCCATAACACAAGTAACTTGTTCTTGTCGAAGTTGAGATCTGTCTTCGTAATGGTTGTTGGTGCGAAAAAGTCTTCAACTTGAAGAAGATGCAGTCACGCGCTAAGCTACACGTGACTCAACAGCTCTTCTTTTAATGTACTGGGCAGCAGACAATTCTAATGCGCCTTGAGTCCTTGTTACTTTTCTCTCTCATGTAGTCGAGCCGTATTAAGGAAAGGAAAGAATCGAATGCATGCAGTTGCAGTCTCACTTTCTCTCACAAACATGTTCGATCTTTATTTTTTCTTTCATGAATAAAAACCAACAGTTCTTAATCCTTTGAGATAAAATTTGATTCATCTACAGAATATATACATGTATTTACCATATGTCCTGTAAGCGAAAGGTCAGGCAATGCTGCAGTGGGCCGAGCCCTGCTGCTAAACAACTACGAATTTCTAATCAAGCGAGAACTTCACTTTCTTGAGTGCTTTTGCTTTTCTAAATTAGGACCACTTCACATTAATTAATTCCTGAAAAAGACTTTTACCCAACAGTTAGCTGTTGAATGGCGTGTACCGTTCTTCTTCAACGAAGCCGAGCAAACTTCCAGGAAAAGATAGTGACTGAATTCGACATTTATCATGAGTCTTCATTGGCATTAATTGATTATATAATAGGTGCTAGTTCAATAGATGAACAGCAAACTTGACTTGGTCATGGGAATGGTCTACGCAGACTTTAAGGACAAATTATAAGGCAAGACAAAATAATGGAACTTTCTTCTTAAATTTCTTTTCTAGCTGCACTCTTGGCTTGGTCTTCCATATATAAGAGTTTAACTCATATAGTGCCACCATGTAAGGCTTTTCTTCTTAAAACCATCCTGCATTGATTGAAAGAGTTGTAATGGGCTTATATGCAATGCTGTTGCAGTTCATGCTTGCAGGTTTGCTAGTGGCATCCACCGCGGTACCGGTAACAGCTCAAGCTAGGTCTGGCTGTCCCGACCATTGTGGGAACGTCAGCGTCCCTTTTCCCTTTGGCATAGGGGAAGGTTGCTACTTCAATGCAAGTTTTGAGATTACCTGTAATCAATCTGCTGTCCCTGTACAAACGTTTTATGGTGACGTTGCTGTAGAAAGCATTTCACTTAATGGTGAGATTCGTTTGTTCTCTGTCATAGCACACCATTGTTACAAGAAAAGTGATCAGTCGGTGCTACACAACAAACCTTGGTTTAGATTAGGCCAATTCACCATTTCTGACACCCAAAACAAGTTTATGGCCATTGGTTGTGACACCGTTGCTTTGATTCAGGGCTACCGAGGTAATGATAGGTACACAACCGGATGCATATTGTCCCTCTGTGAGAGCCTGAGAGTTGTTGATGATTCTTGCTCTGGTGTGGGGTGTTGCCAAATTCCCATTCCCAAAGGTCTGGAAAACATTACATTCACATTGGGTAGTTATATTAACCGTACAGATGTAACGGAGTTCAACAACTGCAGCTACGCCTTTGTTGTTGAAAACGAGTTCACTTTCTCCCGCAAATACCTTCAAGGTTTTCAAGGTGAAACCAAGCTCCCAATGGTGGTTGATTGGGCAGTAGGGGATGAAAGTTGTGAATTAGCAGCACAAAACAAGTCTACTTTTCTATGCAAGGGAAATAGCACCTGTGATGGATCCTATAATGCTCGTGGTTATCGTTGCAAGTGCGAGGATGGGTATCAAGGGAATCCATACCTCGATGGCTGTTATGGTAAGTAACGATTTTTTTATTCTTTTTTTCTTCTGATGAGAGCTAATTGCTGTGCTTATTTTGTTTTCACTGTTCGTTTAAATATTACCTGGACTCCTAATTTTCTCATTTTTTTTTTATCATCTCTCAGATATTAATGAGTGTAACACTATCGCCAATCCGGGACTGCATGATTGCGAAAAACCTGGGTATTGCGTCAATGAATTGGGAAATTATACTTGCAAGTGTCCTAAGGGTTATCATGGCGATGGTAGAAAGGGAAAAGGGTGCATTCCCAATCAAATACAACTTGTTGAAATTACCCTTGGTAAGTACATTGATTGTATTATTAATATTCAAATAATTAAAACATCATTTAGTTTTTTAAAGTTGCCTTACTAATAAGATAGATTATGAATGATTTGCTCGGAGTAGATAGCTTTACTGTTAGTTTTTGATTAACCTGTCGCAGAGGATGGATAGATTAGCAGGATAAACTTTAGCCTCCAAGTTTAATTGTTTTGACCAAAAGATAATTCCTCAAAAACAAATTGTTGCATAGATATTCATTCCTTCAAGATCATAACCTACCAAGAAATTTCTAATTGAAAGCAAGTTGTTGGCATCATAGAAAGTAGAACATGTTATCTTCTTTGAACTCGCACTCTTAACAGACATTTTTGCTTTTGTTTGGAAATGTTAGTTACAAAATATGTTTATTTAAAAAATTCCTGGAAGTCTTAGGTTTTCTATGTAGCTGAAAATTTTCCAGGTTTGCGTGGTGTTTGCTTTCTCGGATGCTTCCAAGAGTTGCAATAGTCTTGACAAGTTTTTAGACAGCAAAGTTTCGATTTATTAAAACCATGGGCTGGGCCCATAATTTCAGTTGTTTTGTAAGAGAGAACGACATAGTCAGACTAGGTGCAACTTGGAGGCATCTAACTGTTTGTAAACCCGCTGACAAATGTCTCCTCGCTGAAAATGGCCTTTGCAACAATAAGTTACAAATTTTCACCTTGTTTCTAGCATGAACAATATAAGGAAACCGTACTACTAAATAGCTTCTTTTTTTCAATAAAGATTTTGATGCGTGGAGAATAATCCTACGGATTCCAAATGTAGGTGTTACCATATGCTCTGTAGCTGTAGTTGCTGGGAGCGCTTGGCTGTTCATGCTACACAAGAAAAGAAAGCTAATCAAGCTCAAAGAAAAGTTCTTTAAGCAAAATGGTGGTTTGATGCTTCAACAACAACTCGCAGGAAGAGAAGCATCATCGGAAACTGCTAAAATCTTTACTGCAGAGGAACTTAAAAGAGCTACGAGCAACTATGATGAGTCCATGATTGTTGGTCGCGGAGGTTATGGCATAGTGTACAAGGGTATCTTGGAAGGTAACAATATGGTTGCTATAAAGAAATCGAAAATAGTGGATCAGAGCCAAATTGTGCAATTTATAAATGAGGTTGTTGTTCTCTCTCAAATCAACCATAGGAATGTAGTCAAGCTTTTGGGTTGTTGCTTAGAGGAAGAAGTCCCATTGCTAGTTTATGAATTTGTTGCTAATGGAACCCTTTTCGATCACATTCATGACGAAGGCAAGGCAGCTACCATGCCTTGGGGGACACGGTTAAGAATCACAGCAGAAACTGCTGGAGTGCTGTCATATTTGCATTCTGCTGCGTCTATACCAATTATCCACAGAGATGTCAAAACTACCAACATACTCTTGGATGATAACTACACCGCAAAAGTGTCTGATTTTGGAGCTTCAAGATTGGTTCCAGTAGATCAAACTCAGTTATCGACAATGGTCCAAGGAACGCTGGGCTACTTAGACCCTGAATACTTGCATACAAGCCAACTGACTGAGAAGAGTGATGTCTATAGCTTTGGAGTTGTTCTTGTTGAACTTCTCACTGGAAGGAAGGCACTTGCTTTTGACAAGCCTGAGGAGGAGAGGAGTCTAGCTAAGTATTTCCTTTCTTCAGTAAGAAAAGGTCGCTTGTTTGATATTCTAGAGAGCCATTTAGTGGATGAAGAAAATAGAGATCAAATCATGGAAGTGGCTAAGCTAGCAATGAGGTGCTTAGAAGTTAAAGGAGAAGAGAGACCTTCAATGAAAGAAGTAGCAATGGAATTAGAAAGACTAAGGTTGATAGAGAAACATCCATGGGTTAATCTCGGATCGAATTCTGAGGAGACTGAGTATTTACTCAATGGAAAATCATCTAATAGTTATAGTAATGGTGGTAGTAGTAACAATACTTCATGTGGGTATGACAGCATAAAAAGCCATGTGATAATCTTGCCCTTAGATAAAGGAAGATAATGGTTTCTACACAAGGCAATCTTAAGAAATATTGAAATAGAAGAGCAAAGAAAAGAGAAAGAAATAATGTGGAAGAAAGAGTAATGTGTTGGACTTAATATGTGCATTAGAAATCTCTGTCAAAGTTGTATGTGTACATATGACAGCTGGTAGCCATGTTTCCCATAACAAGACTGTATGCTCAGCAGTCCATGCTGTTAAGTGTTTAGTTTGCATGTTTTGATTAGATATGTATGATAACACTTGTTTTGTGCTCAAGAACAAGTGTTGGTTGTCTTTGACTTTATAAAAACTACCTTGTAATTTATCAACTCAATGAGAATGAACCTTTTTATGTTTTTTCTCTTCAACCAGTGTGTACTTTGTTAGTCGATGTTTTCCTTGCACTTAACAAAGGCTATTACATAGCCATTGTAAAAGCTTATATAGATCACAACATGGTGTCAAAGCTCCCAATTAAGGGACAAAAACTAACCCCAAAGCAGTTAAAACTCTCTCAAACACCTTCCTAACCAACCTAAAAACAACCTTATCTACCTGCACACGACAGCCAGCACTTTTATGCACCAGTCACCACTAACCTTCAATAAGGGAAATTACCTTATTTGGTTAGTAAAAATGAAAGCATACTTAAGGGCTTTCAACTTATGAGATGTGTTCGAAATTGGAGCTAAGCTACCTACCCTTAGAGAGGATGCCACACTCACACAAATAAAGTAACACAATGAAGAAGTTGTTAAGAGGTACAAAGTCCTATCTTGATTGCATTCAGTAGTTATTGATGTCATATTCATAAGAATCATGACATGTGAAAATGCAAAAGAAGCATGAGAAAGGTTGAAGGAAGAATTTCAAGGTTCAAATAGGATGATACAATGGCAAAGCTTTAGATAGAAAACAATCTTCAACCAGTAAGAAAGACAACATTCATCTAAATGAGCTAGTAAAATTTAATTCTTAAGGTTTGAGTTGTGAATAAGAAGATATAAAACCATTCCTGTTAAAAAAGTGAAAGGATTTGAATCATGCCTTATCATAAATAGCGAAATATTAAAATTTTAATTCCCTAAGCTATAAACCACTTTAATTGAAACTAATCTAGAAAAACCACGAGAGAAATATTTTGACATATTTGAAAGTTT